CAACACGCAATGAGGTACAAACTCGGGAATGTTATCCCAAAATTTTTCAAAGTCTCTTTTAGACTTTGCAAATTGTGCTAAACAATGGGGAACCACATTAAATTTACAGCTAATCCACTTGCAGTCAAATTGGACATGATCCTGAAAACGAGCTTTAATGTCCGCCAATATTAAACCCCAGTCAGACAGGTCAGTTTCATCGGATTATAGTCGATTTATAATCACTGACGAGTCTCCAGCCAAAGTGAGTTGCTGGATTCCTGTTGCAATTGCTAACCTGATAGACCCACGTGCGTTATAGCCTTGTTCTTAAGTTTATATTTATAACACAATCTTTTTTTTCTAATAACTATGTTCATTTATTTTTTCACGGTGATCATTTTAAACTCTAATTTTAAAATCATTTTCGCTCCTTTCTTTTTCTTCGTTTCCTCTAAGTGTGGCTCAAACAATAAATTTGCTTTTCCTTTAAACTAGTATTTTAGCCGCGCTTAGCGCGGGGAGTCATTGTTGAAAAACCATAAAATCATTTTGGTAAATTCAATTTTTGATCAATTTAAGAGCATAGACAACATATATAAGATTTGGAAGTAACAGAATCATGAATCCTTTTAGCGAATACTTTTAACTGGCGTCCATGAAGCACAACTCATGTAGACGCAGAGCATCTTTGTCATTCCTTAGTAAATTGACAAACATCAAGTACTCATCTGGCCCTTTTCAAATCAGGTGACTCTACAACATTATCCCAAGCCCCCAACTGCTAAGTTCTCCCACTCGAATATTTCATAAAATATATAAAGACAATTGCATAAATGATTCACCTGATGCATGTAAAAACCAATCATCTAACCATTTTGCAAATGATATGGGAAATCAATCATCTATTGTCAAAATCTACAGACGACATTTGCAACACCGGATTGGACAACTCAACTCAAAATGGAAACACAATATAAATCAATAGATTTATCACCTTATCCATCTAGTGCGCATCACATTTATATTTCATAATATAAATAAGCAGGGAAACGATAACCGCCTGTAATCACAAGACCGTATTACATTTATAAATCACAAGGAAAAATGATTGGAAACAAACCTATTCTCCCAACGATAGTATCTTTAGGGCCACCATTTAATGATGATCGATGACAAACCTGTTCGTTGATGTTCGTCTATATTTGGACAAAGTGCCATTTCCTCGTATTAAAAGTTATCCATTAAGAGAAGTGCTAATCTCAAATACATCTCAAATGTGTTACTCTAAAATCGATCTCAAATACATTGAAAAATAAAGTAAAGACAAAAGAATCGCTAAACTTAAGTCCAAGTTGATATATCTAACGTTGGAGAAAAGGAAATATTCATCAAAACATCCACAAAATAGGTCCTTTTCTTCATTCAATGACAACTAAGAAATAAAATTAGTAACAATCAAAGTGCTTAAAATTTTAAATTCACAAATATTTGGTTAAGAAACTATACTTTTTCTCAAATTCCCACGGAGACCATTTGCTATTATGGAGTTTGACTAATCAAAAGAAAATCGGCTATGCTAAAACATTCTCAACTAAAACAAAAAAAAAAGTTTCAAATAAAAAAGCTTTCGGTAAATCTCAAAGGGACCTTCAAATAAGATTGAATGAAAACATTAAGAAGAGAAAATTCCAATTCAATTATATATATATTGATAAACGTGACTACAAAATAGCAAAATTTCATTGAAAAAATATCAACGAAATATTGACCTCAAAGACTACACTTGAAATGTCTTGGTATGCAAATTGTCTGTTTTGCACAAGATACCTAACTTTAATTCATTAAACAACATTAAAACTAAAATACACGTTGAATCATTCGAAAATTCTTTGCAATAAAGTTACGTTTTGGAACTCTTGACCCGATGACTGAACTCTATGGATACCACTGAAGCCTGCATAAAACTAATGCATCATCACCAAAAAAAAAAAGCATCATCATCTTATCTTTAATAAATACATAAATGTAGTTTAGCAAGAAACTATGACCACTACGACATGCAAGAACATCAGGTGGTAAAAGAGAAGGACCAGAATATTTTCGACCAGAAGACCGGCATTCAACAACCATCTGGTCTGGAATAATCGCCGATGAAACGGATCAAGCAGTCACCGGATTGACAATAGTTGTCCTCGTCGGATGTCTTAGATACATATTAGTGTCTCCATCGGGGATTGCCACGTCAAACGTCTATCATCTGTTAAGAACAAAAAGAAGTGTCAAATCAGTCTTCTCGGATGCAAGCTTCTCCCAATCTCATCTCATCAAGCGATGTTCTTGCGTTCAATAAATATCTACAAATTTAATTTCATAAACAAACATAAAGCAACCAGTTTGGACGTGGGGAAAAATTTATGAAAACAAAGGAGTTATGGAAGTTCACATTAGATTAACATGGATTCGTTGCTTAAGAAGAATTCCCAGTGATTCGTAAATTCCACAGAGTAGTACAATTCTTATAAATATAAAATAGAATATCAATTCCTCAAAATAGAAAATCAAACACTTAACCCTTCTTCCTCGGGATTATCCTCAATAACGATGGCAGAATAGAATTTGATACCGGTCCAATTCTCTCCCCTTTGTTGTCACCTCGTGAAAATAACGCCTTTCCGATTCATCATCCCTTCTGAATTTTACAGCCACGACCCGATTGGGTGGAATAATTCAACTGATCTACTTAGCTTTTCCCAATATGCAAGTAAAAATTTATGAAGTCGCCTATTTGCATATGAATTGAACATGAAAGCGGTGAAATATTTACACTTAAAAATTAGGGTTGCAGTTTGCGACGCGGCTTTTGATGGTAATATGGCTTCAAATTGATTTTGAATTTATATCAATTAACATTAATGCAATTATCTTTGTTTACCAATTATCTTCAAATAATATTATTATCTATACATTTTCCATTTAAATTCCTATTCAAATTTCGAAGTAACATATCTAGATCATGTTAAAAGTTTAAGTGATGAGAATTTGTTTTTGATTCTACATTGATATCTTACACAAAATCAAACTAGATAGGTCAAAGGAAATTAATATAAGGTAATAATACTCCATGTGTCCCAAAATTATTATGGATATTTGAAAATTAATAAAAAATAGAAATAATAATTTTTTTTTAAACAATAACCTAAAACTCACTGCGTCAAACTTATAGCCACATAAAAACTCGATGGGTTATTGGCCGCCGCTGCACTCTTCATCTCTTTCGGCCGGCCCCTCTACCCCAGATTAATCTCTTCTTCCACCATAATCATCATCATCCCCATCATCACTCGTGACTTCATCATCATCATTCATTACTCCATTCTCCTTGGAACCACACACCGTATCACTGCATCATCACCATAATCATCCATGCACCCAAAAAAAAATACTCCCTCCATCCCATAATTATTGTCCAGTTTAGATTTTCATTTTTAGTTCAATTTGTACTAGAAGTGAAAACTCAAACTGAACAATAATTTTGGGACGGAGGGAGTATGATTTATCAATCTCGAGTCCCCATTGCTCATCTTCCTCAATGACCGCCCTTTCGCTTTGCCTCTCTCTCCTCTGCTATTCTCCATTTTTAGCTGTAGATCTTCTAAAATAATTGCCAAATATTTATTGAATAATATATTGAGTCATTCTAGGAGATAATCTCATTGTGAGAGTGTGAAGTAAAATTCGATTTCATTCTTTCGGCCGGAGCAGCAACAACGGTACCTGAAGAGAGATCATGGGCGCCGATTTTGCCTAATAATCATTTGACTATGTTTAAATTAACCATATTACTTGGATAAAATATCCAGTAAAAAAATTTGCGAATTAAAAGATAACATATGGACTACATAAATTTCTCTACGAATGAGAAGATGACACGTGTAATTGAAGATTATAGATGACTTAATTACCTGGTATGTGTCTTGTGAAAAAAATTCCCTTAGTATATAATAAGATGTGCCAAACTTTTAATTTGGTCAAGGATACAACACTAAATATTAGTTGAAACTCGCAAATCAGATCAAATAATAAACCTATGATGAAATTTTTTAGAACCATACCAACGAGCTCCAACGAATTCGACATCATTCCTACAAACATTACCTACAAAACCGTCATTATACTAAGGAATATCACCACGAAAGTCGTTGTTATACTAGCGAACATAAACAAGAAAATAACCGCCATGCCTAACAAGTAGATTTTAATTTACAGGTTTGGAGATTATAATTTCAGTTATTGAAATTAACTCAAAAGGCAACAATTATCCCCCCCCCCAATCGAAACAAAAAAATGAAAGATATTGAGTTTTTTTTTTTTTTTAAAGTTTAGGAGTTCGGCGAGGTAGACGGTGGTCTAAACTAATACTATTTCCATTTACTTTTATTTATCGATTCAGGGAGAATTAAAAAAAAAATTTATCTGTCGAACTTCATTTCCAATGCAGTATTAAATATATTTTTTTCAATTTCACCCTTATATTTCGCTCTACTTTTAATAGCAGATATCAATGACAACTATCTAATTTTTACACTCGATCCATTCAATTTTTTGTAAAATTCCAATACATTTAATTAGGGCAAGAAAGACAATATGTTTAAAAAATTAAAGTCTCATCATTGTTTTACTAATACTTTTACGAACTTTAAAGCGACATATAAAAGTAAACGGAGGTAGTATTCCTAATTCGTCACAGTTATTACATAAACTCTTGTTACGGTTCTATGTAATTACTAGTCAATCTATTAGATAAGTTTCTAAAATTATAGATAGTTATCTTGGTGTTCTTAATTTTTTAAAATGATTTTTTAAGAAAGAATTCAATTATTAGATTTATAAACAATTAAACAATCACTTAAAAAAACAATTAAAAAATTAATTAAGCACTTAAAAATGGAGAGAAAAAGGAAGTAAAGGAGTATAATTTTGGTCGAGTGCCGCCCCTATTTCTCCGGTTCGGGTTTAGTGTTAAACATCCGATTCTCTTGTCCCCTCCTAAAACCCTTTCCTTCCTCCCTCTTCATCACAGACACAGAGCCACCACCCAAACTGCCCAGATGAACTTGAAATGAATCAAAACTCTTAGAAAAAATCATTTAATTCTTCAAGAAAAACACCATCCCTTAGCCGTAACGATGATCAAAACGCCGATTTCGGCGAAACCCATTTTGCATTTCTCAATTTTTTCGGCGAAGAACTCATCATCATCAAACCCTGCAGGGAAGTTCTTCCTTTTCCAAATCTCCAATTTCGCAACCAGCGCCGGTGGTGGTAACTCTTCGGCGACGACTTACCCTTCACGGCGGCACGAAGAGGAGAGCCGAAGTGTGAGGGTATCTGTATGGTGGGATTTTGAGAACTGCAATGTGCCTACTGGTGTTAATGTGTTTAGAGTTGCACAAAGCATCACCGCTGCCGTCAGGGCTAATGGTATTAAAGGCCCTATTCAGATCACTGCTTTTGGAGACATAATGCAGATGTCTAGACAAAAGCAAGAGGCCCTTTCGGCCACAGGGATTAACCTTAATCACATTCCAAATGGTTAGTTTTTGTTTCTCTTGCAGTATGTTTCTGATGATTAGTTAAAAGACCTTATTCTCAAGGCAATACGAAATTCATGTTTTTACACTACCTTATACTTATGTTTGCTGATTGTACGGGAATTGGACAGATTAGCCTGTTTTCTTCTTAAACATAGAGCTTGTTTTATTTTGGTTTTGTTTTCTTGTTATCTTGTTTGGTTTCCCCATTATTGTACTTATGATTTTCTGGTTTAGTTCCGCTGTTTTTTGTTTTGTTTTTTTTTTTTGGAGATGAGTTAGAAAATTGCTGATATTCTTATTTCTTTGAATGGATTTTTCATTTTTGTATTATTGGTCATAGTTTTTATTCAAGGATTCTCTTTTCTCTTCTTGGCATGGAAACATTTCATGTATCTTAACTGCTAAATTCAGTTTACTGTTAAGTTTTGATAGTGTAGTTGTAATTTTGTAGAAATAAGTTTTTAAGAACCCTTATTGGTGGATGATCCTTCTTGAGAATGTCCATAATATTTCTGTATATAGCACATTTGAAAGTAGTCTTGATCATTTATTCTTGCCAAAGAAACTGGGAATTGGTCTAGAGTTCCCTTCTTATTGAAGATTCCTAGCGATGGTTGATTTTATGCCGCTACTTAATTTAACCCATTAGTATTCTTGATCATTTATTCTGGCCAAAGAAACTGGGAATTGGTCTATGGTTCCCTTCTTATTGAAGATTCCTAGTGATGGTTGATTATTTGTCGTTAAACTTCATTTAAACCTGAAAATTTTGCCCTTTGGTCTTGATGATTTGAGCTCCTTTATCTTGGCTTCTTTCATCCTTGTACATTTCGTCCTTTTAGAGTTGACACATTATTTGACCTTGTGGTGCATAATAAAATGCTTTTTCTTGTTCCTCCGTGAAATGCTACCTTACCATGTCATGGGTACTTTTGACTGTGAGGAACATGTCTGAAATCGCCTATCAATAACCTTTGCTTCTGCTTAAATTTCTTTCTGAGTGTGGGGAGTATTCGAGTTTTGATGTACTAGTTGTTTGTCTTACTGACTAGTAAATAGTATGTTTGTTCTGCTCTGTTGTCTCCTGTATTATCGCTTTGAAACTATATTTCCCTTGTTGTTATAGGTGGAAAGAACAGTGCAGATAGGTCTCTTCTTGTTGATCTCATGTATTGGGTTTCTCAAAATCCTCCACCTGCACATCTTTTCTTGATCTCTGGTGACAGAGATTTTGCTGGAATTTTACATCGCCTTAGAATGAACAATTATAATATATTACTTGCTAGCACACACAATGCTCCCGGTGTCCTGTGCAGTGCTGCAAGCATCATGTGGCAGTGGAGTTCTTTACTCAAAGGGGAGAACCTATCTGGAAAGCATTTTAACCAACCTCCTGATGGTCCATATGGCTCATGGTATGGCCACTATAAGGCACCACTTGAGGATCCCTTTGCAGATCTGGAGAAGCCAGCTTGTCCCCAGGCTTCAGTTCAGTCTGCATGTCTTAAGGCTTCTACTCCAGAACCATCAACATGTCCCATGTCTGAGTATGTGCCTGATTCTGTTTCGGAGGGTAAGGGTCAATCAATTCCCAAGGAGGTTGTAAAGCTAGTCCGTCACATTTTGCATCAATATCCTAAAGGACTTGCCATTACCGATCTTCGGGCAGAATTATCGAGTAATTTTACTATAGACAAAGAATATTATGGGCATAAAAAGTTTTCTAAGTTTCTTTTGGCAATGCCAAACATTTTAAAGCTTCAGTCTGGAAATGATGGCCAGTTCTTTGTACGTGGTGTAACCCCCAAAATCCCCGAAAAAATGGAACTAAATCAAGGATCAGGGGTAAGTAAAGGTCCTACACTCAATAGTGAAGTAGATTCTGATGTAGCAGCAAAATCAAATGATGGAAGAGGCTTTTATGGTGATCAGTCAGATGCAAAATCATCTGTGTCTCCACATACTGGAAGACTGCTGACAGATACTGGAAAACTGGAGGACCCCTCAACTACTATTCAGATGCCAACAGAAACATCTCCGAAGCTAAAAGTAGAAAGTCCAACATCGGATTTGCAGCAGCCAAGAACGGAACCTGATGGAGTTACTGGAGAAATGAAAGAACCACCAGTAGTTCAGGTAGGTAATGCTAAAGCTACTGAAACTGAGTTGTCAGAAATACTGCCAAGTCCTGTGTCTGAAGTGGGCTTTTTCAAAAATATATGGAAGAAATGGTTTGGGAAAAAAAACAGTGGTCTAGAGGGGAAGATGTTGAAAGAGACCAATGGAGAAGTTAAAGATGTCAAACCCTTGACGGAATCCGGGGTATCACTGGGAGAAGATTCATCCTCATGTGACAGTGATGTAGGAATTCAGGCCCATGAGGATGTTACCTCTACAACCTCTCAAGCAACTCCAGAGAAGTCGAAAACCCGAGGGTCTGGTTCTGTTCTTCAATCTCTCAAAACAATGTTGTGGGGGAGTTCAGTGCAGCCTTATGATTCTGGGGTATTCGATGGAGAAACAAATGAAGTTGAATTTGTTTCTGATAAAAGTAACATTTTTGGGGAGGAGAGCTTTTGGGTTGCATTAAAGACATATTTAGGTACTCATGAAGCTTCAGCCATAATTAAGCTGTCAAGGACAAGGTATATGTCTTGTCTTTTCATTCTTTTCAATAATTTAGCTGGAAATACAGCCATTGCCTTGGTGGTTTCTTGCTTTCTTCTTTTTGTTGCGTTAGTTTTGGTGTTGTGTATTTATCTTCACTAAACTCTTCTTTGGAAATGCAGCCATTAGCCCTTTTCCAAGTGCTTGCAGCACTTTTTTCCATAGTACAATGCACTGCTCTTACTAAAGTGCTGGAAAATCCATTAGGGTTTCATTTAGCATAAAAGGCAAGAAAGAGTTAAATTTGCAAATTACAACCATAACTAACAGTGAAAGATAAAATTAGGAACTCCAAAGTTATCTTCATAGTTATGTTTATCGCTGTAATATTATCTGGTAAGTAAGCTGTAGCATTGCTTGTTGTTTTCTTTTTCTGTATGGGACTGCTGAATGCTTTGCAAATTTACACAAATCATTGAAGCGCCGTGTTGCACATTTATTTTTGGAGTATGGTTAGTCAGAAATTGAAGGATTTATTCTTGGTAATATCTTGGTGTGGCTTTTTCGATGGAATTTGTGATGCTTGTTTTCTGCATATATTTGAAGTTCTTGCTTTTTGCTTCTTCTGTTCCTTTGTTTGTCTATTTTTACCTTAAACCTTTGTTTATCAAAAAACTTTGGCTTAGAAAATGACTATTTGGCCGTTTTCTTACATTTCGGAAAGTTCTTACCTTGTAGCTAAATTGTAAGTTTGCTATTTTTCATTGTATATTACTAACATGACGGCTATATTTCCTTGTTCTTCTTCCGTATAACTGAGTTCCACTTTCTATATTAAGAAAAGAAGGAAGTAAATTTCAATCTTATGGTTTCCCGAGCTTTCGAGATTTTGATCCTTTCATAGAATAGAACCACTTTTCATGGGGAAATAGATCGTCAAGATATTGCAATAATAAGAAATGTAAAATTGGAGTGACTCCAAAAGATTCTAATCCCCAGTATATTTGCAGTTGTAAGATATAAATAGCATCAAGGTTCACGAAACTTCTAAATTTATGGTTTTGCTTTGATATGGTTTTCTATTGAAGCATAAGATGGGATATTAATAGGCTCTTTGAATGTTGTCTCAGGAGGCAGTTACTGCAAGATCTTAAAACACAAGGTCCCCCAGTTCTCACATCTCTTAGTGAAGCTGATCTTATTCACCTTGCTGAGCTGATGATCTTAGATAAGAAGTGGATAATTGAATCTCCTGAAAAAAGCTACCCTTTCAAACTAGTCCTCTCTGATGAGAAAGTTTCATCATCTCAATCTAGAGATGTCTCTCGTCATTCCAATGGGCTAAGTTCTATCTTCTCAAATGCACAACAAGCATCCTCATCTCCGAGACTCAGGGCAATAGTTGGGGAGAAAAGACATGCTCCTGATAGTGAAGTATCCAAACCTGCCATTGCAGAAGTCCCCACTCGCAAGCCCAGGAGTGAAATAATGTCGGACTGTCAGAAGCTTGTAGACGAGATTGTGAAGAAATATCCGGAAGGATTTGACATGGGATCCTTTAGAAAAGCATTTAGTGAAAGATTTGGTTACAAACTTGACATCCAAAGGCTTGGTTACTCTAAATTATCAACCCTTCTCCAGATTATGCCTGGGGTGAGGGTAGAGTCTAGTTTCATTCTGCCTGCTGGTAATGTTGCCAAACTTAACTCTGGGGGGCCATTGGGTCAGGAAATTGATGATGAACGTACAGAACTATCTGAAGCATTTCTGAAGGAAAATGATAATTTTGATTCTCCGTGGGAAGAACTTGGTCCAGTTGATAATTCGATTTCAGAAAGAAATGGAAGAAAGAGACCAGCATTGAATAGCAGCATCAGAAATGAAACAGGCCAAAAGCTTGATCATGGATATGAAAGTGTATCTGATGAATACTTAACTGATTCAGAAGAAGAGACACCACTCACTCCGAAACCAGAAAGCCCAAACAAGATTGGTGGCAACGAGGGGGAGAGTTCGCTGTTGCAGATTCTTGATTCATGGTATGGTACCAAGGAAGATAAAACTAAGATGGATGCGCATGCTGTTTTTTCTAGGAATGGTTCACGCGTTTTGAATCCAACACGATCCAATACTAACAGTGAAACTCCAGTGATTAACAATCCACGGAAGCAGAGATCCGTGAAGAATTACTCATTTGTCAAGGACCAAGCGTCAGCAAACAATGAGAAGTTGATTGATGGTATTTTGAGTGGCTTGAATAAGTCCAGTGAGGGATCAGCTGAGACGAAAATATAGGATTATAGGAGGATTCTACAGGACATCTAATCGGATTGAGAGGATCAGGTTCGAACTGCTTGTACCCTCTCAACGAATTTCTACTGTTATGTTATATCCCGATCCCTACTTGCACCGAGAATAAAAATGACTACTTGCATGTCAAGTTTTCTGACATAAGTAGTCCTACCAACTTGGAGCCTTACTCTGCACAATTAGGGATACTCGGCTAGGGTATAATGGCCAAAATCCGAGAAACTATGGAGTCATGCATTCCCTTTAATAGTTATTCTAAATTGCTAATTACTCATATTATTCCTTTTCCTGATTACATAACTTTAAGTAATTAGCTTAAATTAGTATGATAATTTTTCAACCCTTCAAGTGGAAAAGCTTATATATTCGTTTGTGTAAGTCCAAAATGCTTGTTTGAGCCACTATTATAGGGGTTTGAGCCACTGAAGCGTACGAGGTTCATGTTCGACTAAGGCTATATTTGGATGGTTTTTTGAGTGTGTTTTTTTTATTAGGAATGTAAAAAAAGTATATTGAAAATGTAAAAAGGTGTATTGAGAATGTAAAAAATTATGCCAAGATGGGATATATATTAATTAAAAATTCTAAAAAAATGAATGAAAAAACGAACCAAACAGAGTGAATGAGTACAGAAATTCATATTTTTGCCCCAAGGGACGAAAAAAATTGAAATACTTCTTTGTCTTAAAAAAATAGTATACATTGAGTTTTTAAATTTGTATCGTTTTAATATAAATTCCAAAAATCAATGTCGATTAAGAAGTTCTGAGGTTAAGTAAGATGATCCTTCCTAATGTAATTGGTATGTACGTGACCCTTTTTCTTTCAATCCCGAGGATACTATTTCCCGAAAGTGCTCTACAAATGTCCATATACAGTGATTTCAAAGATTATATGACCGGTTTGATCACTTTCAAAGATTATATGACCGGTTTGAGCACTCTCAAATGATTTAGAGTTCGATTTTTATGGTTATCAAGATTTATAAATAGATTACAAACTCTAAATAGCAGTAGCAGGATATGGTTCACAGTTTGCGCAATTGAATTTCATCCCTTTAAAACACCTTCTATCTAACAGCTTAGGTTTATAAAACATCCAAAAGGTCAGAATTTAGAAAGACCATTCGAACAAACCTTTTTCACTTTGAGTCAATGTGGAGTATTCTTTGATTCTCATGATTTTTACTAATAATTAAACCAAAAGTAAAAATGTAAACTGGACAATAATTTTAGAAAAAAAGGAGTAATAAAGTAAAATTATGGCACTTGCTCAAAAAAGAAAGAGCATGTCACTCCTTCCGGTGGCATTCAACATCTCTTTTTGGCTGCGACGGTGTATAGAATTAGTGAGGGTGCTTATAGTTAACAAAGCACCAGCGGTAACAGTAAGGCTAACAATTTTTAGATATTAATCTTAGAGCATTTATACTCCATGTGGTAGTCATAGTCTAAATTTAATAATTTTATGAAATGGTCAATTCTTGTAATAAATTTACTTTTTTGGTGTGGTCCAATGTGTATATACAATATTTTTTTCATCCACTAAAAGATGGGAAATTCTAAACCCACATATACCAAATTTAACTCTTAAATCATGGTCACAAACACGTTGGAAAAGTCGTGTTGAAAGTGTTATAGCAATTAGATTTCAAAAAGTATAGTTTTTACCAAAGAAATTTCTCTGAAAATGAATGTTGACCCTAACTTTTTTGAGAAATGTATCATTCATAAAAATAAACAATTTGACGAAAATGTTGATTTAAACTATTAAAACAGCTCAAGAATCTTTCAAATTTGATTATTTTCTTTGTATAGCAGATCAAGCTATTTCTTCACTTTAAAGTAGATTTGATCAATGTAAAAACATTGAAAGTATTTTTGGTTTTCTATTTAGTATGCATAAATTAAAATCAATTGATGATGAAAATTTGTCACCAAAATTAAGAAAACGCAAATAGGGTAGCAAAAGTGGGTAGCACTAAAAAAGTACATTCAATCTTGGCTTCAGATCTTACTTGGTGAGTTTTCTTCAAACATTTTGTTGTCTCATGTTTGCTGTCCAATTCATCAAACACCCGCCATTGTTTTGTATTAAGTAACAGCCTCAAATTCTTGGGCAAGTAATGTGATTAAGATGTTGTAACTAATTTGGATTGTGGAGAGGTGCGGAGCCAAGCCCCAAAGATGTGATGGGGCAAGAATTTTTGTTTTCCTAATTTACTATACTTGTTCTTTTAGATTTTCAATTTAGGTGAGACAAAAATTATATTTTCATAAAAAAAATTCTTGAATTTATAAGAAATAACTAGCACAAATTAAAAAATCTACTGGGGCAATTGCCCCACTAATCTTCTATTTAGCTCCGCCCTTGATTGTGGATCGTGTATACGGTTGTTCATCTTGGTAGAAGATGTTTTCATGTTGAAAATAGTCCTCTATCAGACACATCCCATTTACCCTTGCATGTGTTTATAAAAAACTAGCAGTCTTTCCCGTATGTTGCGCGGGTTATATTAGGTATAAATTTATTAGTTAAATCTAACATTAATTGATATATCTTTACCCTATTTTGTTACAGCACATATTTATTTGAAGTGTAACTAAGTTAAATTATACTAATTATTTCGTAGTTAATGAACATTTTTTTCTATTTATAAGAGTCAACATCGACATTCTAATTATTGAACATTTAATCTACAAAGAATAACTCATTGTCAAGTATTTTAAGTAATGTAATACTTTATATGTTATTATCATATTTGATTTGGAAGATTTATGCCAGCGTATTAGAGAAGATAAGTGATTTTCAAGATTTGATACTGATATATATTTTGCAATTTTAAAATATTTTAAATTTTAAGAACAGCAAAAAACATGCGAATAGAACGGAACATAGGGATGATTTTATGGTTTTCCCGAGATAATGATTACATTAATTATTTTTTGAAAATCATAAAGTAAAAAACAAAAAAAGGTAAAATTCAGATTAACAGATTTATTAAATTACTTTAATCGTATAATGAAACTCAAATGCGAAGGCGACAAGTGTCAAGAAAATTTATTTATACGTGCAACAATCATTTCAATTTCAATCATTATATTTACACGCATATCAGAATAAAATCTAATTAGAAAATAAAACTAAAAATAAGGTTGCCAAATGATACATATTATTAATAAAATCAAATTCTTAGATTGTGGAAACAAAACACTATTCTTTTTAACTTTTAGCAGTCCTCCTCAAAAAAGTCGTTTTTTAAAAAAATTCTTCCATCCTACAATAGTTCATATTGTTCTATATATGCTATCAGTTGAAAGTTTTTATTTAAACAGAAAAGAAAACAAAAACAAAAGGGAGAAGGGGAGTAGGATATCAAGGTTAATGTCTCCGGTAGCGGTGGCGGCGGCAGACGGCGTGACGATACCGGAATGGCGGTGGAGATGGCAATAGGGGGGTGATGCTAGAGGCAGGGGAGAGAATTTGAGAGGCGGAAGAAATAGATTTACTTTAGTGAATGATTCTACATTTATCTTATTTATGGAAGAAAGAAGCATAATAGAGAAGATATATATAATTAATTAGTGTAATATTTTATATGTTATTATTATTATATTTGATTTGGAAGATTAATTGAATTGTATTAGAAAGATTAGGGATTTGAAAGATTTGATTTTGATATATATTTTCTAAATTTAAAATATTTCAAAGTTTAAAACGCCACAAAATATGGGAGTTGATTGCGTCAGCCGTGCGGAAGTGGGGCGTGGTTTTAGGTTTAGCAGATAATGATCACATTATTTATTATTTTCCCGAAAGAATAAAGTAAAAAAAAGTTTAAAGTAAACTTTGGATTGACATATTTACCAAATTATTTTAACTGTTTAATGAAACTCAATCATGGACGCGACACGTGCCGCTAATATTAATTGATGCTCTAACTAGTCTCAACTCATTCCTGAGATCCACTCTCCTTTCATATATATGATTAAATCATTTTTCAAAAAGAAACTGTAGATTCTGTTAGATCCAGAATGCAGCGGCTTTGCTGTTTCCTAAACTTCACCCCCTATCATTCCTAAATATGCTCGTGTTTCTCTTAGATGTTTGACCTTTCTCTAGTAAACAACTCCAAGAAGATTGAATCTCGTCAGTTTTTGAATGGTATAGGAGGATGGTTATACTCCTAAAAGATGTGTTCAAACTTCCAAAAACTGGAAAAGGTACTCTTATCTGCAGAAAAAGAAAATACACATGAACCAATCTGTTCAAATACCCAGAGGAAGGCTTTGCAAAGTTATGCAAAGGATAAGGAGATCATCCAAAGGCAGAGGGAGAGGGGGGCAGCTAGGGCGGCCGCGCCGGCTCCGATTTTAATTTTTTTAAGAAGTTATAAATTATTGTTTAAAAAAATTAAAATAAAATTTTCGCACCTCCTTCTAAATATTTTGAATGATAAAGATAAAGAAAATATTTTTTGATGGTGAATATATTGTATCTATATTATACCGTATCTCTTTTGTCAATACAAAGTTAACATAGAAAAGGTTGCCAAGAACTATACTTTTTTCTTTTTTACTGGTTTGATTTTTAGATAACTAGGAAGAAGATGATAGTTTCTTTTTTTGGATTTGGTCTTCTATTGAAAAAGATTGATAATAAAAATGGTAATTAACTTAAGTTCGAAACCAATAAAAAGCTTACATAAATGTATCTTAATTTATATAGTTTTATAACTAGGCCCAACTTTCTTTTTATTTCCTTTTCTTTCCCTAAAATGTATCACGTTTGCCCGTTGAATGTTTAATTCGTGGTTCAATCAGTACTTGAAAAAAATTAATTTTTTAAATTTAAAATTTCATCCTACAGTGTCCCATTGATGACTAAATAAATGTGTATTCACAAATATATTTTTTTTTCTTCACATTGTAAAAACATATTATTGAAATTGAACACTAGGAATTTATATAAAATATAGTAAATTTTAGTACCTTCTTAATAGTATAATAGTTGCAAAAGATATATAAAATATTAACGAAACAGAACTAATTAAATTGGTGTAGGTTTTTTCAATGAGGAAAAATGATAGTTTAATAATTTCTAATACTTAATATTTTTTTAGTATTTAATACACTTGTTTTGATAATTTTGTTTCGCACCCCCTATGATGAAATTCTAGCTCCGCCAGTAAGATCATCCATAAGTTGTGATATTCATAGGACAACTATGATAGTAATAGAACAATATGGGAAGCATGTTTTTTATTATAACAATTTCTTCCAACTTTAAAGTTGTACAATATGGTCATTTTAGCAGTTGCATCAGGATCCGCATGCAATAAGTAAGCGTATTTTCTCGACAAAAAACAATCTGTACCAAACAAATTAAGGTCACTCTCTTTATCAAGTAAGGAAGATTTCGTGCACTTGCAAGGAGACTTTCCCTGACATCTATCAGTTTGAACTATTTTCTTGATTTCTTGTAGCTATCATTATACTTGTGGGTTTCTCTGGACATTTGGTTAGCTACTCGATTGGGGGTAACTTGAACTTACAAGGA